AATATTATAAAATTTTGAATAAAATATATACCGATATCAGTATCAAATTAACCTTTTTAAAAGTTCTTGTGTTTTGGTGTAATTTTCTTAATTCAGTTGTTTAATTATAACTTAAATTAGGTTTAGTAACAAAGAAATTTAATTTAGGAAAAATGACCAAAATATACCTGAGATATTAACGAAATAACCAACTTGTACCAAAATTGCGAAAATATCCACATGGATCGCCCCCGGGGGGCGAGGGTTGACCATGGGGGGCGATCCTTCCTTCTTTGACCAAAAAAGTAAAAAAAATATTAAAAAACTAATTTGGTGGGTCCCACATGCATCACCTTTAGAAAACCAAACACTTTTTGCCTCGATTTTGGTGAATCTATCACCGGGGGACGATCCATTTTTTTCACTTATTTTTCATTTTTGTTTAATATCGATTAAGGGGTGTTTTTAATAAATGGGAGACGATATTTAAACTTTTTTTTAACCTTTTTAGGACCAAATGTCATGGTTTTAGTCTATAAAATAAAACACTTCTACTCTCACAACCCGTAAAAAAATGTTGATATTCTATAATAATTGTGGAGACGAAAAAAATTATTTGTATCTGATTTTGTGGACAAAAATCAGATATTTTATGTTGAATCTTATTTCGTCTTTTAATGCAACAAATTTCATTATAAATATCAACTTCCTGTTTCATTATTTTTCATGCCTCCTCTTTCATTTATATTCTCATATATTCTACTCTCACAACCCTTAACCCTTCAACACAATAAACAATCACAACTCATCACCCTTAAACACAAATATGAAATCACGTCAAAGTGATGATGTTTTGATGTATTTTCGAAATGGCGATTCATTCCAAGAGATAAATGGTGTCTTAGAGTACCTTCCGTTAAGCTTCCCCGTACTTGTATTATGTTTGCCTTTGCCAATAACGCATTTCTGGTGTCATTAAACGTGTCACGAAAAAGTTAAGTTTACGTGCTCCTTTTATTTTATTTTATAAAACGAACTCCTTACAAATATTATATCAATTAAGCGACGACGACGATGTGCTAACGTTCCATAACGTCATTCATCAAAGTTTACCAGAAATGTTAACACTCTTTATGGTTGACGATGGTGGTTATGGTGGAATTCCATCAAGTGTCGTAATCCATCAAAGTTTACCGGGCGGTCCAAACACTTTTTACCCCGGTGGTGTTAGCTGTGGAAATCCAAGCAC